TTTTTTGGTCTTTATGTTTACTTTAATATTATTAGGGGATGCTTTCTTGAAGATTTAATGCAACAACTTTGAGTGCTGTTGAAAGTTAGTGTACTTTTCAGAAGGTAATCACCATCCAAATAAATCCAACAGTTTGATTTGTTACTCTACATTGTGATATTTTGCAAAAACATAGACATTGTTTTTCTGGATTTGAAAAGGCCAAGGATAAATGAATTGTGACTTAAAATACTGCCGATTGTTCTCATTTTTTTGCAAAACAATAAATAAATTAAAAAATCTTATATCTCTAAAAGGTCATCCCTGCTTTCTGTTGACCAATTTTCTGCTGCTTGGTAATCCCAGTACACCCTATAAATGGCAATTCCTTCAGGATTAATTTATATTTTTTACAAGACAAATTTTCTTAATATAAAGTTATTCTGAACTTCCAAACTGCATCCAGCCACAGCTATTTTCATTTCTACAGTTCCCACCATATTTTTTTAAAAGGGCTAACTTACAGCACTTGTCCCTTTCAGAGAAACGGGGATCTAAAAGAAATACAAAAGCAGTTATTTTGGGTTTTCAGGCCTTTTTAGGTGGTATGTCTAGATGCCATCCATTAAAATGTGTGCATGAGAGAAACTGTCTGTCATTGCTGACAGCTCTCACCATGAAGCCTTGTGGGAATTAACTTCAGAGTGCTGAGAAGATCAGAATGGTATGAATCCAGCCTGCAAGAATTTATATGAAAAAAACCTTTTTGCCAAGAGTTGCATACAGTTTCAAAAGACCAGTTTGAATTTTAATGTGATGACACACGTGACAGTGGAGAGAGAAAAGGTCATGGTGTGCTTGAGTGCAGCATTGCGGTATAGACGTTTTTCAAACAAAAGCTACAGAACTTTCTTTCTTTTTCTTAAAGACTTTTTACCACCTGCCTGGTGGAAGTTTTCGGCCTATACACCGCTGTTGAGACTCTCACACTTTCAGAGTTATTTGTGTCACTGACCCACCCACTCATTCTGTGGTTTGTTGTCACCTGTGAGTTGTTTACCTTTCTGACCAACACATGAGGTGTTCAGGTCATGTTTCAAAGTGTGACTGGTTACAAAAACACCTTGGGAGGAGAGTTAAGGCTACATTGAAAGTGTTGGATGGATGACACCTGAGCCCGTTTTCTCTGTTTTATGTTGCTTTTTTCTCCTCCATTTGGATCGCTTCCTTCATGCCTGTCTCAAAACATCTGCCTTTTCTGTCCAGAATGAAACCATTATTGTCCTCAAAAGAAAATATGTTATCTTCAAAACCCATATGGACTGCTGAGTGATGACTTGAGGAGCTGGTTCTCGTGTGTAGAGATATGTTCTGACCCAAAAATAATATGAATGCAAGACTGTTTGCATCAGTAAGGTCCCAGTGGCTTTTCACACAGACACAGAGACCATGCTGAAGCCTTTATTATGAAACACGTTTTTTGTCTGGAAGATTAGTTTGATTTGAAACATTGTTTCACATTTTAATTTTTCACTTCTTTGAGTTTACAAAAACCCAGTTGGGGTTTGAAATGCTTTTGTAGGGTTGCCAACTTCCAAAAATTGAAATTGGGAATGCACATTAGTCTTTATTAGAGGCTGTATATGCTTTTTGTGATGGCATCAAGAGACTGCTGATTCATTTCAGAGACATTCACATATTGGCACATGTATAAAAGCTTAACAGATATATGGATTTTGCTACAAATGCATTTTGTGTTTTGCTTGAGAATGTTGATTTTGCACAGTTGAAGTGAGTTAGGTTTAGGTTTATTTGTCATATGCAGATCAACACAAGGTCAACAACGCAATGAAATGCTCAGAACGAGAAGAACCGTCTCGACTCACCAAAAAAACAACAAGAACTCCCAAAGCATGCAACAAAAATAAAAAAACAATGTGCCAACAGTGATAAAGAAATACAGTAACATTCTACCATGGTGCTAATGGGACAATGTTGCTGTAGATGTGAGTTCATGGTTTTACCGTTATTCTGTGAATATGGTGATTTACAGCCCAGAGTTGCTGTAATAAAATCATCCCTTTTTTGTTTGTTTGTTTGTTTACTTTTTTGTTTTGTTTTGCTGTAATTTTTTTAATCAACAAGTTTTTAAAATGAGAACCATTCTGTCATGTAAATAAAATATATTACAAAAAGCTCCAAGATATGAAATCCTGGTGCAGCTTGTATCTCGTAAACTTTTACATAAACTGAAACACAGACGTGTGGTAAATGTAAAATTAAACTAAATTAAATAAACTGCAACTCCCGGATCCCAGAGCAAAACATGCAGATAATGAAGCAGAACCTTTGATTAGTAAAAATTACTTATGTGGAAATTTAAAAAAAGAAAAGCTGATTAAAATTGATTTTTAAATTTTAGATGTTTTAGGAATTAATGCTACAAATGTCTGGGGGAATTAAAAGTTTACTGGATGTAGCCAAGGGTGACCATTCATTCGAAGGGCTCAGTCAGGTGTGAGGGTGGTTATAAGATATTCACAGAAGCGTATTGACTTCGTCAGCCAAGTTTGAACCTAATACCTGCAGCTTGTGGGCTTTTTCTTTATGCAGATTTGTTTGTTTTGTTTGTTTGTTTATTCCAAAAATGTGAAACAGTAAGGGAAGAAAGTCAAACAAAAGGATTAAGGCTCTTAAAGACATAGATAAATAGAAGGTGGTGTAAGTATTGAGACAAACTAATCCATAAGAAGTTATTGTTTATACCATGGCTCTCAGTAATCTAAAATTGCTGTAGCATTTTCAGAAAAAAATACAGCCCTTTTGTTGTTGTTTATTGCAATATTTAAAATAGAATTAGTCATCTAACCATATTTTCAGTTCATTGAAGCAGTTGCATGATTGTATGCATGTGAATGTAATGATCCAAAATATTTTTTGTTCCATTTTCTTATTAAGGGGGGAAGTTTAAGCCATATATTTAAAGATAAAATTTTGTCTAACCTGGATTTGTGCATGTTTTTATACAGTGACATGAAATATAAAACATTATCTGTGCTCAGACAAATGTATCCAACTACATGGAACTTAAAATAAGTCAAAATTATAATTAATCCCTTTACATGCTGACATTGTTTTGTTCTTCTTCTTTCAGGTCCCTTTTCTATGAGGTAACATGGACAAAGTGGTCGTCTGTCTCCTACTTCTGGGAACTGCACTTACGATGGTCCATGCATGTCCCAAATATTGTGTCTGCCAGAACCTGTCTGAGTCTCTGGGGACGCTGTGCCCCTCCAAAGGACTGCTCTTTGTGCCACCAGACATCGACCGTCGAACTGTAGAGCTCAGACTGGGCGGCAACTTCATCCTTAAGGTTACCACTCAGGATTTTGCCAACATGACAGGACTGGTGGATCTCACTTTGTCCAGAAACACAATTGGCAGCATCCAGCCTTTCTCTTTCATAGATTTGGAGACCTTGAGATCCTTGCACCTTGATAGTAACCGGCTGACTGAACTGGGAGCCGACGACCTCCGAGGACTGATCAACCTGCAGCACCTGATTCTCAATAATAATCAGCTGAATCAAATCTCAGATTCAGCTTTTGATGACTTACTACTAACATTGGAAGATCTGGATTTGTCTTATAACAACTTGCGCAGTGTGCCTTGGGAAGCCATCCGCAAAATGATCAACCTACATCAGATGAGTCTGGACCATAACCTCATCTCCTTTATTGCTGAGGGAACTTTTACAGACCTCGAGAAGTTGGCTCGCTTGGATCTAACCTCCAATCGTCTCCAGAAACTGCCTCCAGACCCCATCTTTGCACGTTCCCAAAGCAGTATGATCATGAGCACACCTTATGCACCTCTACTTTCTCTAAGCTTTGGTGGAAATCCATTGCACTGCAACTGTGAGGTACTGTGGCTACGAAGGCTGGATCGTGAGGATGATATGGAAACTTGCGCTTCTCCAACTAGTCTGAAGGGGCGCTATTTTTGGTCTATTCGGGAGGAGGAGTTTGTTTGTGAGCCCCCTTTAATCACACAACATACGCACAAATTGCTGGTACTGGAAGGTCAAACGGCTAGTTTACGATGCAAAGCTGTTGGAGATCCAATGCCCACTGTGCACTGGGTTGCTCCAGATGACCGTTTGATCAGCAACTCATCACGAGCAACTGTGTATGAAAATGGCACGTTGGACATAGCAATCACCACACCCAAGGATTATGGCATCTTTACTTGCATAGCTGCTAACGCTGCAGGAGAATCTACAGCATCTATTGACCTATCCATCATTCAACTCCCCCACCTGACTAATGGCACAAATCGTACCACTCAGTCCAAGTCAGGACTTTCGGATATCACAAGCTCTACAAAGCTAAGTAAGGGGGATCCCAAACCTCTTCCAGAGAAGGTGGTCTCTGTATCTGAAGTGACTGCTGTCTCTGCTCTGATTAAGTGGACTGTAAGCAAATCAACTCCAAAGGTCAAAATGTTTCAGCTTCAGTACAATTGTTCTGACGATGAAGTCCTCATTTACAGGTAAGAATGAATAATACATCCCACTTATTTCCTAAGTCTGAACATTTGTTTTCTGGTCCAGGAGACTTTTAATCCACAATATATATTTAGCTTCAGGATATTTTCAGCTCAGGTTTCTCAGTTGTTTGCTAATTGTTCACAGTGTGTGTGATTCAAAAGGCAATTCTTCTGAAGTGATAGTTGAAGATCAATGTGCATCTTCCTAATCCTTCTTGATATATATTTTAATAAACAGTTGGTAGAAGTACCGTTTTATTTTTATTTTTTACATCATAAAGGGAAACTTGAAGAGAAAGCCTTGCCCCAAACTATTAATTAGAAATCCAAGAAGAAAAAGGATTATAGACCTCATTTTAATGTATCCCTCTTAAGCTGCTCAAGTTTATAGACGTGTTGGCTTGACGACTGCAGCCAGAGATATTTGAGCTCTGTGAAATCAATTTCCTATTTCAAATGAGAATGTTAAGAAGAAACATTCAACCAAAATAATTGCTAGGAAATAATAAAAAAAATATATATATATACATCTATATATTGATGTTTATTACAAAATTACCTGGGGTGCATTCAAGATGAAAACACGCTGATCAATGGTTTGACTTGGATGTGAATCGTTTAGTTTAAAATATGTAAAATGTGTTTATTTTTCTATAATAAAAATAAAACTAAACATTTTTAAACTAAACATTATCCATCCCCTAATGTAAAGCGTAAACATAATTATGGCCCTTTTGCCACAATGACCACATCATAATAAAAAAGTGTTGCATTTCTGAAAATTAGTTTCAAATGTTTTGTTGCAGTGTATGTCACAGAACATGGGGTTGGGAAAGTCTGATTAACTATTATTCTGAAATTATAACTAAATACAGTGATGGAGTAAAATATTACTTCCTAACACTGTTGATGCATCTTCCGTTCCTGGCAGATTCAATAATAAGCTTTTATCTGATTCCCTTGCATGCACACTCTGTGACAGGTTTCCATGGCAGAGTGGAGAAGACAATTTGAATGTTCAGAGCCGTTTTTTTTTCTGCCCGGTGACAGCATATTGGGTGACTCATCCTTATTTTTAATGAATAGAAACAAGATTTGCCACAGCTAAATTGTTCCCCTGAAAAAGTAATTTATTTAATGACTTTTTTTTTTTGCCATTTAATATTTATTACTAACACAATAAACACGTGCAGTTTGAGTAATCTGTCAGAGCCTTATCATGAACACTTACTTGTGGAACGTACATTTAGGGTGATCTATTGGTATTAAAGAAAAAAGTATTCAGGGATTTTTTTTAGTGATGTGGAGTATTAACTAAAGTGAGAATTATTTATTTTAAAAGTATACAGCATTGTATGATCTTACTCTTTTTAAAATCACAGATTTACCCTTTAAGTCTTTGATCTTCTGAGGCAAAGAAATACAATAACTGTGAAAGGACACATAATTATGGTTTTCAGAGAAATCCTATGTGTTGACTGTTTTAAACCAATGTGGTTTTGATCTGATCGTTGTAGTAGATGGGTGACGAAATTAATGTTATTTATACCCCAAAAATAACTGCAATGTCAATGTTTTAAACTGTAATAATGTTGTGGTTTAACAGATTTACAAATGCTCACCTACAATGTTTCCTTAACCAGCTGTTTTTCTCTGCCTGCACTGAAGCAACAGAATGAATAATAATCATTTAGAGTCACGTGAAGCAGCAGAACGATAGCATGAGTTGGAACATGTGAAAAAGCAGAGCATTGTCCTCTTTATGGACAAAAGCCAGTTGGGTTGAAAAAATGTACAATCTCTAAAGACACATATACAAGTAATTAAAAAAAAAAGATGCATGTGCTGCAAAAAAATAAATGAATAAAACTTATAGCAAAGTGGGCATACAACCAAAACATCAGTTTCTGCATGGCAGCACATGTTGGGTTAAATGTAACGAGCTTTATTTCTTCTAATTTTCTCATTCAAGCTTATAATGTTAATACAAGTAATTTTTCTTGTAAATGTCTGCGTATTATATGCAATATACAGTATTACTCAGAATTTGCTTATGCAGCGTAAGTTGCACTCATTAGCTATGATTTAACAAGCAGGAAGCTTTAGTTTGTGTATTAATTACTTGCCTGTAGCACCACATCACTGACTGACTAACATGCTCTCTTGCTCCTTTGATGCATATTTTAAATGCACAGGTACAGGCAGCTCTCATCTGAGGGTGCAGTTACACATTAAATATGATATAAAAGAAAGTCTAAAATTAATCTTTTAAATGTGTTATGTAACAAGTAGTGATGCTTACAGTATATTTCTGAGTGGGATTTTGTCATTTATAACCCTAGTTCCACAAACACACACACAAAGTCCACATTTTCCATTGAGGAATAATATTTTTAACATGTTCCATTAGACGTTTTAATGATTCTGGTGAAATGTATTACATTTTTAAAATGCAGCCTCTCAACCATTCATTTTCAAAGCCTTTTGTTGCTTGTCCCAACTTGTTGTTTTTTTTTTTTTTTTTTTTTTTTTCAAATGTGAAGCTGGCATCAAATTCAAAGTTGCCTTTATTTTATTTTATTTTTTTATAAAATTGACCTCATTTAAACATTTACTATGTTCACTCTGCTCCATAGTGAAATAAAAAGTGTTTTTGTTTTTAAATTTCACACAACATCACTGGCTATTCAGAATTGGGATTGTACTTTTTTCAACCACCGTTACTTATTTGTAGTTTTAGCAACTTGTCATTGTTACAAGATTGCCTGCTGCCATGGGGCCTTTCAGAGTTAAGTTTTCTGCAAGAATCTGGTTTCCTCCCACACACACACACCAAAAACCTGCATGTTAAATTAAGTGGTAACTCTAAATTGTCCATAGGTGTGAGTGAGAGTTGTGTCTCGTTTGTCTCTATGTGACCCTGTGATGAACTTGTTCGGATGTCCACCAGTCTTTTCACAGTGACTACTAAAGATAGGTACTAGCTCTATGACACTGAATGGAAAGGCAGTTAAATAAAATAATTTGACATAGATTTTCTTTTCTGTGCAACAGCTGTAGTAGCTTGGTGGTCAGTGCCATCGTCTGACAATACTGAGGCTGCACGTTTGAGCCTAGGCTGCGCTAGGAAGGATATCTGGCCTAAAACAATTTCTAAATATTTCATGAAAGTTTGCTTGCTGTGGCAACCCTTGTTTCTGCAAGAAGCTGATAGAAAGACAACAACATGAATATATTTATGACTTTGTCATGTTAATCAGTTTAGTTGCTACTTAATATGAACTCCACTCCTACTGCAGATCAAACCCTGGGAAAAATAAAAACAGTGATTTGCAATTCACTGATGTGTAGTTTTTTTTTTTTGTTTGCTTGTTTGTTTGTTTTTTTACATGCAAAAGTACTTCAGTTTTGTTCTGTGAAGTACAAGCATGTTCTCATTGTGGAATCATCACAACCATTTTGTAAACAGTCATAAAGTCACTGAGATTTTAGTGTTAGATGATTTTTGCATTTTATCATTATTATTTTAAATTACCCTTTTTTTTTCTCTCAATACCGATATGATTTAGGCAACAAAAGTAGTCAGACCTAGAAGAAATATAATTTGTTTTGTCTAAAAATGGTGCTTTTACAAATTTTTAAATATTGGGCACATTATTACCTGATGGGCAACACGGTGGCGCAACTGGTAGAGCTGCTGCCTCTCAGCGAGCAGGTCCTTGGTTCAAACCCCGGTCCAGGGGCCTTTCTGGGTGGTGTTTGCATGTTCTCTCCGTGCATGCGTGGGTTTTCTCCGGGTACTCCGGTTTCCTCCCACAGACCAAAAACATGCATGTTAGGCTGATTGGTAACTCTAAATCGTCCCTAGGTGTGAGTGAGAGAGTGAATGGTTGTTTGTCTCGTTTGTCTCTATGTGTCCCTGTGATGGACTTGCGACCCGTCCAGGGTGTACCCCGCCCCTCGCACAGTGATTGCTGGACATGGGCACCAGCGACCCCCGTGACCCAAAATGGAATAAGCGGGTAAAGATAATGGATGGATGGATTATTACCTGATGAGAAAAGGTCTTATTATAGTACAGGTTTGGGGAATGAGTTGGTTTTACTGTCATTAAAGAATATGGACTAATGCATATGTCAACCAAAAATGTAAATCCAAAACAGTTCTACAAAGAAACTTGTGGGTTCCTACAACATCTTGTTGATTGCCTTGTAGATGACATACAGGACTTTGAGTTTAAATTGAATTTTAGTCAAACGCACCAAGCTTCAGTTATTCCCTCATGTAAAACATCAGGAAGAAAAACCGAGTTATTTTTAAGCACAAATAATACATGTTAAATGGAACGTACTCCAAATTACATTTTGCCAAAACAATATTCAAAAAGTGGCCATTCAGTGCTTATCTCATTACCATTTGCTTCATGCATATCAAATGGGATATACTGCAAGCAATGGAGTCATCTTTCTGAATTACTCTATGCATATAAATAGCTACTTAGCATGCTTATGTTTTTGCTAGTTCTTTGATCTGCTCCAGTTTATCAGACTAATTCAAATATGCCTTTGACATTTTTGTTATTTAACTGAGTCTTTATTTCGTAAGGCAATAAGTTTGCAATGTTTAATTTTTATCTCTGACTTTTTTTTTTTTTTTTCAGGATGATTCCCAGGACTCACAGGGCGTTCGCAGTCACTAATTTGGTGCCAGGGATGCAGTACGACCTGTGTGTCTTGGCCATTTGGGATGACACTGCCACCACGCTTACAGCCACCAACATTGTCGGCTGTGTCCAGTTCGTCACCACGGATGACTACCCGCAGTGCCAGTCACTTCACAGTGGCTTCATGGGCGGCACCATGATTTTGGTTATCGGTGGCATCATCGTGGCCACACTACTGGTGTTCATTATCATCCTTATGGTCCGCTATAAGGTTACTAGTGGGATCCAAATGAGTAAATTACCTACTGTGAGTAACACATACTCACAGACCAATGGGGGAGTGAACAGGTTCAACGGCGCCCCACCACAGGTCAAGTCCACAGTGGTGGTCATGCGTGAGGAGATGGTAGAGTTCAAGTGTGGATCCCTCCAGAGCAGCCTCTCTTCATCATCATCTTCCTCTAACTCATTAGACAGCCAAACAGGAAGAGGAGCTGGTGGCCGCTACAGTGTTCAGAGCAGTGAATGCAGCACCCTGCCCAGCAGTAAGTTCAGGAGGCATGCGCATGGAACCAAAGCACGGCAAAATTTGGACCACCTTTTAGGGGCCTTCACCTCACTGGAGCTGCGAGGTCCAGTGAAGGAGCACCAAGGGGCTTCGAGCTCCTCCACCGCTCAAAACACCATCACAACGGTAGCTGTGGCACCGCCATCTGATAAAGAGCCCCTGCTCGGGAGGGCTGAGTCCACGACTATGCTTGGACGACTTCTAGGTTTTCCCCAGGAGGGTAAGCCTAAGAGGAGCCATTCGTTTGACATGGGCCATGTTGGGGCAGCACAGTGTCGCAGCAGCCAACCGCGCAGGATCAGTAACATCTGGACTAAGCGCAGTCTGTCTGTTAACGGTATGCTCCTGCAGTACGATGACAGTGAAGAAGAGAAACCCTCTTTTGAGAGCTCTGAGTGGGTAATGGAGAGCACAGTTTGAGTACAGACCATTCATAAGGTTTAAGACCAAACAGTAGATCGGTATCACAAACTGATGAAACAAGAGGGAGCCTTGAATAAGGTTCCATGACAAAGCTGTCTATATGAAGTTCAACCGTGTGAATACTGTTGAGAAGACACACAGATCAAAAAGTAAACGCCCATGATCAGAAATCTCAGACACGTTTGCCTATATGTGAAAATGTTCCATTTAAAAATAACTGGGGGGAAAATACCCATATGGAATAAATCCTGATCTGCAGTCAAGAGGAAAGATAAGACATTCAGAGTGGATTTATTACTTCTTTATCAAAGGACTTGAATACCAAGAGGATTTGCTTTGACTGTGATAAACTGGATCACAGTGTTGTGAACTAAAGGTTGATCCTGAACTACTCCTGCAGCAGAGTTGGACCACGTGAGCTAGCACAGTAGACACTTAAACTCATTTTTATTTTCATCTGGATTTTTTCTATCATTTTTATTATTTATTATTTGAGGTGATTCATCAGAAGACAGTGGCACAGCTCTGTAATGAGGTTGTAGTTAAAAATTGCTTACACGGGAGCTCCCAGGCACTTTTAACTCATTTTGCTCAATCACAAAATGACAACATAAAACATGCCCCAGATATGAGCATCACTGAACCACAGAATCCAGTGTTGTATTTCTACCTCAGGTTGTGTATACGAGCTTATTTCGTATGTGACAGCTTAAGCAAACAGAACAAATGTCCAAATGAAAAAAATCAGTATTTGTTTGTTTTTTGTTCTTGGACAGTACGGTTTTGGTGAAGTTGGATTGTGTGGAGTGGTTATGAGTAGTCAGTCACTTACCTGCAGTAAATGGTGGTCAGAGGGATCTCAGTTTCAAGAATCTGGAAAAAAGTTTCATGAAAGGGCCAAGCTAACGACTACTCTTCGCAGGGCATACTGTACCTTAAATCTTTCTTAATATTTGAGCAATGCTCCATGAAACTGGAGCTGAAGACAGCTGGTCAGTGGTGAAATGCTTTAGCAACCAGTTAGTCCACTTATCATGATAAGTGTTGCTCTGTCAATCAAACTGCTAAAAATGTATGATTTGTAGAAAAATTGGCATTACATATTATTTTGCTTTGATGAATTGTTAGCTTGCATCTCTCTCTGTATATATACATTTTTATTCAAATTCTCTAAACTGGGATCTAAAATTGTGGAGCCTAAGGCTTCAAAGTGTTCTGTTCCATACTCAGGTGGATAGCAGAGGACTTGCATATCAAAACTAATTAATTAATTAATAACAAAAAATATTAATTTTTGAAGCATATGCCCATTTTTTGCTAAATTTAATAGCAATGAGTGTTTGATAAATGGCATTGTATAAACAGATTTTAAAACGTTTTAAAGAAAAGTGCATTATTTTGGGCAAATTCATAAAAAAGCTAAACCAAGCAGAAGAAAATCTGCTAATATCTGATAATCCGTTTTAGCAGACAATGTAATATTTACAGTAAAACTAAGAGGTCAACAGAACCCAGCTGTTAAAGAGGAGAAAATAGCTTCCACAAAGTAAGTTTTCAGTTTGCATAACAATATTTCATTGTGCATTCTCAATTTGGATTTCAAATGGCATACCAAAGTCAACATGGCAACTCAGATATTTAAAACTGATTATATTTTATCAGGCTAATGTAAGATACTTATTATTTGTAAGCACTCAACACAACCCCACTTAAAAAAAATAAAGAAATGAGAATTCTCTTTTTAACAGCCAAACAGTTTACAACCAGCCAAATACAGTACTTTCCCCAGTTTTGCCAGTTATTTTATCTCCCTTTTGGTCAGTGTCGTAGGGGATAAAGAACAATTGATGTACACATTGTTTTTTTGTTTGTTTGCTTTTTTTTTTTTTTTTGTGGGGTGTTTTGTTTTGTTTTTTGCCTAAGAGTCCAGGTTCAAGCTACTATCAGTACAAATTACAGGAGCCAAATGGTGTTTGAAATTCATCAAGCCCTCTTAATCATTTGGCCAAAGCAGCCAACAGCATGATGTATCACTGGGCAGTGATTCTCTTCAGGCAACACAAACAAGAGAGCATGATAATCACTCATTTAGCCAGGATAAATGGAGGAATTTGTCATTTATTGGCTGGATAAAGGTCAGTTGTGCTGCTTATGAGAGGATGTTACAGCTGGAAAGATTAAATGTATTTCACAGAGAGACAGAGAATCATTTTCTGTTTACACATTCCTTGACTTATTTTCTTACGAGAAACAATTCATCCATTCTTTTTTCATACAAGGCTGTACGTTGCAAAATGATATTTTGAATTAGGCACTATTCAAATCACTGCCTCCAGTCAGTGCAAGCCTGCATTTTAATGCCTTTCTCAGTATTCTGTGGGACTCTGCTCTAATTGTTGAATGATCATCGAGTTTATTTCTCCTACAGTAGGTGTACTGTTCTGTATAAGGACATATTTTTTTGTACAATATCTGGGTGAGAATGTAAAGGGGTGGGGTGGGGATTGTGCAGTAGTACTTTTATTTTCATGTCAAGCAAATGGTGAGAAGGTGTGTTACTGTGGTGTACCAACAAGGTCCTTGTTAGTTGATTTACTGAAATGGGATTTTACATGGTGCCATAAGTGTGGAGAGTGTGGAAATTCCTAAATGGTTGTTCCACTTAGATGTCTAAAAGTACATATTTCCTCACACACCTCAAGTGGTAAATCTTTATGAAGCCTTGCTTTTGTTGCTTGCAGGTTCAAATATTTAGAATTTAAGCTGCAGAGTTTTACTGAAATGCTCCCTCGATTTTTTTTTCTCTCTTTCACTTTCTGTTGGTGTTTAACAAGAATCTGGTTTATACAACTTTATAAATCATATGAAGTCTTAATACCAGTAATATTTTTGCAATGACTTGACATTTCAAAGCCATTTAAAGAACAAACTGATATCTTCTGCACAACTAACTATTGACACCAACAACACGTATCAGCCTACACATAAATCCATAATCAACGCTCTGCTCAGTACCTGTAATGAACATGTTGCACAACTTGTGAATTATTCAGGAATTTTGGAGTAAAGTGTGCATGAATATACAGACTTTTTATTTAATAAGGTTAAAAAAAATCTTCCTTAAAATTATTTTTCCATTTATAGTTGTTGGAATTATCCTTTTCTAATGATTTAGTAAAAAAAAATCACCAGTGTGGCTGCAGAGATTTCGATATTTAGTTTACCAAGAAATATTGATTTTATTACTAAATGTATCTTTAAAAAGGCGAAGTTAAAGATGTTTCCAAATTCGCAGCTGGCACAGTTTTTTTTTATTTTGATTATTTTATTTAAATATCATAAAAAAGGAATTTTATTAACAGTAAAACATTTTGGGTGATGTTGCTTTGCAGAACTTGCTTTTGATAATGCACCCTCTTGTGTTAACAATAATGTTCACAAAATTATGTCAAATTAAATATTTGACAAATTGTCTAAGGAATATTTTTAAGAGAATTAACCAAACGTTACATTTATTTCTTATTTGTTCATTTCATGGTTATTTGCTTCAAACCACCATATAAATGCTGCTATTTTTTTTAGAAAACTGCTTTTTCTTTAGAAGAAGATTGTGTGGGCATGCAGACAAAATCAAAACCATCTGCATACTAAGATTTCACCAGAGGCACCCGGGTGCACAGGTGTGTTATTGATCTGTGTGAAGTAGTCATTCAGCCTCTCAGCTTGTGGCACCATGCATCATCAACCTGAAGTCCACCAACTAACCGTAAAAATCTAAATGTGTACCTGACCCAACATAGACATGATTCTCACCTGAAGTTCTACGACAAAAACAAACAAGAAAAAAAGAACTGTTTGTGTGAAAACATTTTGCTACAAAAGAATATAAAAACACTGATAAATTCCTATGAATCAAACTGGCTCTGGTGTGTTGTCTCGATTGTTTGTATTTTTTTATTTAATTTTTTGCCTTTTATGAATCTCATATGTTGAAGTTTTGTCTCGCTCCGTCTCTAAGCGAAGCATGAGAGACACATGGAGTGTCCTTCGTTCATCCTGCAGCTGAGCCGAGGGTTTACCTCCTGAGCTCCAGCTGCTGACTCACCTCGGCATTGTCCTCATTCCAAATCACCTGTACATGCAGCTCCTGACCGGAGCCCATAATAAGGCCCTAATTCATATAATCTGTTAGGAAAGGTGCTTACGGCAGCACAGAGTAAATATAATCGCTGCAACGGACGAGCGTTGCACGATAAGATACACAACTGATGAAGGGTGCAAGATATGTCAAACATAACAAAAGCTTTTATCAGGCTGTCATGAAAAACAAAACGTTTAAATATAGACTTTGGAAAGAAAAATTAAAGATATGTGTTTACAAGTCATCAGATAGCAGTAGCAGCTTTTATTAAGCAAGTGAACTGACTCACACCTCAATGAGAACATCTGAAATCTTAATTATATATAAAATAAATAAATAAATAAGTGAAAACAGTCACCTTTTAACACACCTGACAGTGTTCTTTTAATATGTTAGCACTGATGTGCTTCCTGTCATGGCCATGAGGAAAACAAATTAGAGCATCAGTTTGTTCATGAATTCTTTCTCAAGTTATCGTTTAAATTTGTCTTCGTTTTGTGTTTGCTGAAATTAAAGCTGAACATGAGGTCGCGCCGCAGGTCAACTCCTCAGCATGAATTATTGCTAAATAAGATTTGATGACTGAACAACATTCACAGCTTCTTAAAATGTGCTTTGGCTCAAAGTCAAACAAAACGTCACAATTTAAACGTACCGCAAGAGATATTCATGATGTTGCATTTAAATGTTTTAATTGAAAAGATTCATGTCATTTGAAAAACAAAACTTGATACATTTTAATTGTAGTTTAAGTGTTATGTTTGTGTGAATAAAAACTGGGTATGTGGGTGAACACATACCCATACTAACATTATTAGCATGTTAGCTAATAATGGTTCATCAGTTGAAGGATTAATGATTGTATATGAGTCATAAAAATCTGTGCATATCTCATCTGCTTTATTATTGTCTGCTAACCGATCTTACAAAACACAAACACAGCTATAACTCAGTCAGTTTTATAGCCATTGAGCTAAATTTTTGTGTTAGTAGTTGAGCATCATCACCTAAACAACTTATTTGTGATCTTTTTTTTCCTGTATCTCTGCAATAGCAAACATACCATGGACAGTACCACTGGACAGATTTTAATGACAATCCCGCAAAAAAATGTGTGTACATGTATAATTAACTTTAGGAGTCAACACAGTTCAAAATGTCTATCAACGCCTGACTTTAGGAAACACAAAAATTTGCTTTCAACTGCTCATTCAACCTATATTTATACATGTTAGTCACATTGAGTCGCGAGGACTCATTTACAAGAGAAACCTGTTTTAAA